ATATAAATAATGGACTCTTTCCTGACTAATGAAGTTTCTGTCTGGTTTACATAATGATTTGCTCACGGTGCAGGGGCTCGAGTGATTATGGCGTGCAGAGACGTGGAAAAGGGCGAGGAGGCCGCCGCCAGCATACGAGCTGCGTGCCCCGACGCACAGGTGGAGGTTCGAGAGCTGGATTTGGCAGATACCTGCTCTATACGTGCCTTTGCACAGGAATTCCTGAGAGGTGAGCACACAGAGGCTGCTGTAATCCTCACCTCCTCTTACACAGCCCCAGGGTGTCGTTATTTAACAGGTATAACAGCAGCCATGTTTCTGTAATGTGGTGTTCTCTTCACTCAGAGGTGAATCGTCTTCATATCCTCATCAACAACGCCGGCGTGATGATGTGTCCTTACACTAAAACCATCGATGGCTTTGAGATGCACATCGGAGTCAATCACTTGGGTAAGAACTCACTGAGATTTACTGGAACACATTTCATGCACAACTGGAATTGCACAAGGTCTTTGAAAAGTTCTGCTCGTTTCATTTCGTTTTTTTTAAAGACTTTATCGTGATAATTATCGATATCGGCTGACATGAACATTTTAGTTTGGATAGTGTTTTTGTCCAGTAGCTTGTAAATGCTCAGCGTACGTCTGTCTTACCTCTGACAGGTCACTTCCTGTTGACGTCGCTCCTGATCGGGCTGCTCAAACGCAGCGCGCCGGCCCGAATCATCGTGGTCTCCTCTCTGGCGCACAACTTCGGCTGGGTCCGTTTCCACGACCTCCACAGCCAGGGCAGCTACAACAGTGGATTAGCGTACTGCCAGAGCAAACTGGCAAATGTGCTGTTTGCCAGAGAGCTGGCCCGTAGACTCAAAGGTACACAAACAAACACACAAACAAACAAACAAACACACACAATACATGGGAGAACGCACAGATGGCCTGTTCTACTCTGGCAAACATAGTAACAGAGGGTTAGTGATGCTTTGTGTGACGACGACGAGATAAAAACAAAATGTAGACGGACAACAAATGGTCTTTACTAACCCTTTGACTGTGTAGTGCACTGAAATTTCATTCCTTCTAAATTATAAATGTCAATTGTGTCCGTGAGCCTGTTGGAAACGTGCTGGACACAGTAAGAAGTGATTTTCTAAATAACTGAAGACGAAGCTCGAGGCTCTAATCGTGATCTGTCCTCACAGACACCAATGTGACTGTGAACTCAGTCCACCCGGGGACGGTGAACTCTGACCTGACGCGACACTCGACCCTCATGACGATATTCATGACGTTCTTCTCCACGTTTGTAAAAACCCCGCGGGAAGGAGCGCAGACCAGCATCTACTGTGCCGTGGCCGAGGAGCTGCACTCTGTCTCTGGGAAACACTTCAGGTGGGTGACAACAAGTTAGATCAGAGTTCGGTTAGAGACCTGGTCATCTTTAAAAACATATTATACATAATATTTCATTATATCATTGTACT